CATTTGAAGGACACAAACAGGTAGAAAGGAAGAAATGGCACACTTACGCTTACCTTCCAAAGAAAGCTTTTGCTAATGGCCTGGTTAATTCCAGGACTTTCTCTCTGTATGGGCCATGGTGATCTTTTCATGGGAGTAATCACTCCATATTTTAAAAAGTGTCTTCTTTATTTTGCTTCACTCAGCATTATAAAAAGCATTCTTCTGTATTATGTCATCAATGTCATGATTAGCTCTTTATGTTCTCAAAATAGAAATGCTTCTTTTTAATCATTGTGGTTTATTGATTTGTTTGATATTTATTTATTTAAAAAATTTGAGCATACAGAAGAGTTCAAAGACTGGGCTCGATTCCCCCACCTGCATCCAACACTTGCTGTTTGGCCGTTCTTATTTGTCCTGTGTGTTTGAGTATATGGGTGTGTGCATGTAAACCTTTGCACCAAACCATTTAAAAGTGAGTTGTAGACACGTTATCCCCAGTCCTTCACCACACAGCTCCTAAGCACATACACATTCTCCTACATAACCATAAATGACAATAAGAGGGCCTAATCGAAGTCGATTCCTACGCCATATCATGTCTTCATCTAGAAAAAGGAGCCCGTGTCGCCCCCAAAGTGTCTCTTGAGCTGTTTCCTTTGCAAACAAGATTAACTGTGGTTCACCTGTTGCTTTTTATTACATCTCTTTGGTCTGTTTTATTTTTGGCCTTCTGACATGTTTTCCTCGTGACATCCACTATCTGGTGAGACTGGGCCTGATGTGTAGGTTGTTCTCTCCTGCTGTTACTTACTGAAATTCTTTATCTTCCATATTTCCTATGAACTGGAAGTTAGCTATAGTTCCAGGTTTCTCAGTTTCCAGCTACACACTTTTGGCAAGAATGCTTGACGCATGACACTGTTCACTCCATAGTGAACCAGGCCGGGAGGCACGCTCAGGGGTCTACCCATGGTTCCATGTCTGCTCTCTTGCTCATGTTGGCAAGCACAGGCCCTCTTTCCTATAAAGGGGCATTTTCCCCTCACAATGACCAGGTAACCGGTGGGTGACATGTTGGCATCGTGGGGAGTCCTAGTCCACTGGCCACTTTCACCCAATGGTTTTAGCAACTACTGATGATCTTGATTAATTTAATTATTTCATTGGTTTTGTGAAATGATTTTTCTAGCCCTTCCTTATTTCTTTTTTTTCTTCTATTCATCTAATTGTATCTTTTTCCTCCATTTATTAACTGTCGTTCATTAGTTAAAAAGAGCTTTCTCTAGTCAATTGGAAATATATTAGTCACCCATTCCCCAAAAATACAGGATAAATGCTTAATTATAACCCTTGATTTTAAAAAATAGAATTAAGAGTTGGGATAAGAGTCACTTCCGATGATGGCAAAGGAGAATTTTTTTTCCCTTGCCTTTTGTTTTTTTGTTGGTATCACTACAGACACGTGGCTTTTTAATAACTATCTTATCTAGCTCTGTCCACTGAAGGGCCTAGGAGTATGTCACCCAGCAGCAAAGAAGACCCCTAGGACCTGGGTCCTAGTTTCCAAATGCCAGCTCCTACTAAAAGAAGCCAGGGATCTTTAGGGAAGGACTGACTCCAGGGCCAATAAAACCCAAGATGAGTCTGGGATGTCTCATTAGGACAAATAGGACCATTTGAACATCCAAAAGAATGATTACTATGGGCCAGGCACGGTGGTTCATCCCTGTAACCCCAGCACCTTGGGAGACCGAGGCAAGAGGATTGCTTGAGCCCAGGAGTTTGAGACAAGTCTGGGCAACATAGCAAGACTCTGTCTCTACCCCAAAAGTGCTTAAAATTAGCCAGGTGGCCAGGCTCGGTGGCTCAGCCTATAATCCCGCGCCTTTGGGAGGCTGAGGTGAGTGGA